GTTCACAGATAATTTCCTGTTTACACATCCAAGTCCAATGTTCACCTCCCTTTTAGCTCCTGACCAGCTAATCGCTAACTTTGTCTGCTGTTTGGTTCCATTTGTTCTGTGTTTTGACATCTCTGTACATTTGTAAGCTAAAGAGCCGTTTCACATCACATCACATCACATCACACACAGACATTTGATTTATTATCTGTTATTACAAGTTAGAAAGAAAAAAAATGTTATATAACATTACATATTTAAACCATATTTACAATACAATTTTACACTCCAGTTGTTTCATTGGTGAGACAAACCCTGTGAGGGTTCACTGTGTCAGTTCACATTAGACATGACGTGTTTGTTGCACTGAATGAAAATGTCTTGCTGCACTCCTCTTCTCATTGTTGTGTACAGTAAACTGAGGAACACACAATAGGCCATGAAAATCAGTTTGCTTGTTGTGGATACTGTCATGTCATCAGACGGTGGATCCTGTGTTTCATTGATAACAGTGTGGATGCAGAATGGGGACATTACCATGCTGCCTGTAGTCTCTTCTTCACCGGAAATGTCAGGACCGTTTTTTTATATTTCAGTCCCTTGTTTAGTGATGATTTGATGACAGGAATATGTTGCTGCCAGAGGTTGTTGACTGCCTGATGTGAATGGTTCTGCCTGAAGCTTTTATTGTCTTTGTGTTATTCACATCCCCATGCAATGGTTGCTGCAAATTCAGAAAACATCTTCATCAATTTGACAACACATGCGCTGCAAATACTCACAACACGACATAGGTGTTTCTGGGGGACACTAAAAAGTGATGAACCTGATTCTGATTGGCTGACTGTTTTCTGTGTGATTGAATAAAAAAATAGCAGATTTCAGGTAAAACACTCAGAGAAACCAACTCCTGCAAGGTTGGATGGTGGGTCCAGGTGGGCGGGGCTTGGAACATGGCTGAGAGCGGTGACTGCTTTGTTGTGACATCAATTTAATGCACTTTCATTCGCCACAAGTGTGGCAGGTGTGTCTGTGCCAGATAACACATTTGATATCTTACATTAGAAGAAAATAACTTATTCATTTCATCAGTTCGGTTACAACAACAATTCACCAGGTAGCCAACAATTGTCCATAAACTAACACAAACGCATAGATGACTCACATGGACGGACTATGGGTGAGACACCGACATGTCATTTAGAGGCAAACTGATCAGGGGAGAGATAAACAGACCACAGTTTGTTATGTTACATGCTGAAACTGCTGGAGATTCTTTCCATCTGTGGCTTTTAAGACAAGTGGTGTGTCCAGAATCACTCCCCATTCACTATGTGAAAGAGATGTGCAAATTACTCTTAGTGACGGTGACTCATAAGCATCTGAGAGCATCTGAATTTACTATTTACTTTAAAGTCAACTACAGAGTGTCTATAATTACATTTCCGGCCATCTGTGTGCGCAGAGTGATGAGGAGTGACTGAAATTGATACATGGTACAAACATGAGCGCCACATTCTCAGTGGTTGTCCATTATCTCAGGTTTGACTGGCATTTTTAATTATGTCATTTCATGGGGCGATGTCAATCAAGCTCAGTCAGTCCTGGGATAAAATGTTCCACCAAAAATGATCTTTATAAATTTTGTTTTTATTTTGCCAGATGAGGGATGAGAATAAATTACAGTTAAAGTTACTGCGGTCGCTGCATAAATGAGGGCCAGATTTATGCACAAACAACAGTGAACAATGGAAGAACTCGACAGACACAGAAGCATTTAAGTGGCTAATTACACAGACAATACCTGGAAAATTTACCCCTTGAAACATTAGACACTTAGGGTGTAGTGGCACATATATTTGTTTATCTGTAAAATGCGACACGTTGTATTGTGGGTGTCTCTCGACAAGACTCTTGTTATGTATCTTTCATGTATTAATTGTCTAATTTAGTCGCAAAAATGCTGCATTTCTGTCATGTGGGACAAAAGACGTGTGGAGAGGTCGAGAGATGGGAAGGTTTCCATGGGTACAAATTATGATCTTCCAGGCCTTTGAATCAATGGCTATTTTTATACAACAATTCACAATTCACTCACTGAATACTTGTGTAGCTCTGAGCTGCAGTCATGGATGATTGAAACAGCATTAAATATGGGATTATTTACTGGGATTATTAACTTTGATAGATGTGAGGCAGCCCGGGTTGTTTGCTTTTATCAAACACTTGAGTGTAATTCACGACTGAGTGTGTAATTAAGAGTAATTCATGATAATAATTACCCTCATTGAGCACTCTTAGGAACACCATACTAGTACTGTGTCTCTCAAACAGCTGAGTGAACTGTGGCCAAAAAGGGAGGCACATGATCAGCATCAATAGTCAAACCATGATTAATTGGTATTCAAGTGCCTGAAGTCTGGCAAGAAAATAGTCCCCACATCATTACATCACCACCAGCAGCTTTGACAGTTGTCACAAGCCAAGTTGATGCAAGGATTCACTCTGTCGGTGCCAAACTCTGACCCCACCATCTGCGTGCCTCAGCACAAGTCGAGATTCATCAGACCAGACTGAGTTTTTAATTCGATTTGATTTTTCTGCTTCGCTTGATTTCCTGTGACTGCTTTGGGCATCACATTTGTGTTCATTAGCAGCTGTGTTATTACATGACTGACACTTTTATGATGCAATTATGATTTGGGGAGAACATAGTATAAAATTTATATTTGTGTACATCAGGTCATGCAACTAATTCTGCATTTGAATGACATCTCATTGGGCAGCGCGGACCTGGAGGGATGGTAGAATAAATATTCCTCTCTGTAATAAGGGCTGTAATAAATAATAGATATTTTTGACAGATGTGCATCTTAAAATAAAGTGCTTAATTTTAGAAAAGTGACATAAAAAAATGTAGCTTGAGCTTTTTTTGTTAACCCCATTTCACATCCTAACAGTCTCAAGCATTTTTATATTAAACAATCTCAACACATCTTAACAATTGAACAGCTTCAACACCATGTTGTCTCTTTCTTTCCCTCTTATATCCCACTCCCCCACTCTCTCTGATTGGTTGAGTAGCGTCATGTGACCAGTGCCGTTAAGCCTAGAAAAGCTGTGCTTGTTAAAATAGATATGAATAATTAATCATTCGTAGGCTATAGGTCCGTCTGGCATCTGGGACTGGACTCGGGCCTGGAGCGCAGTTTGCCTGTTAGGCTTAGGGTTATATTTCACAGCCGAATGGCTCCAGACTAGACATAAGATAATTAAGTACGAGGCTGGGAGGAGTAGTTATTAAGATCTATGACTTGAAAACATTCGACTTTTAGCACTTCATATCAGAAAGTCATGACTAAACAGCTATAGCATGAAGCTCTACTGAGACCTTGTTCTCTTATGTCAGTTTTCAAGTTTGCTGAGCACAAAGAATCAAGTACAGTGCTGTACTTTCACAGGAAGTTGACCAAGAGGGACTGATTACCTAGCTGTGCAGCTCATTGCAGCTTTATAGCTCATTGTTTTGGTTTTATGGTCCTCCAATGTGCTGTACGCAGTCTCACTGCTCTCATTAATTTGCCAGTATTTTCCTGCAGCAGCAGAAAAGCTCTGCTGACCCGGTGTATGCTAAAGAGAAGGCAGACAAAATTAAAATTAGCTGTTGACAAAGATGGAGGTGAAAACAGAAAACAGAGCTCCAAAGAAACTGAATATTGCACTTTTATACACCAGGTAAATAGGTAAATGTTTGCTAACACATTAGCTTTGTAAGAATGTTAGCTTTATTAGGTCTTCCTGCCTCCTCCACATCTATAGGTTGCTGCTGTTTGGATCTCAAGACGAATACTCTTACAATTGAACTAAACTCAGACTGTCCAAAACAACACATATTAAGATGCTTGGCTTGGCTAAGTAGCCAGCTAAACACACAGCTAACATGCATAACGATACCAGGGTCCATTTTTATGTAAACTATACGTTTGAGTGGGATTGAGTTTGGTTATTTTCAAGAAGTTTGGACACTTTTCCTAACATCCTGTAGTGAGGACGCATTCAAAGGCTTCATTCAACAAACTGGAAATGAGAATTAAACACGTAATTTCCTCTCTCTCACCCTCAGACACTCTCTCTCTCTGTCTTACACACACACACACCCCATATTCTCTCTCTCTCTCTCTCTCTCTCTCTCTCTCTCTCTCTCTCACACACCCCCTGATTGGACTCTGAGATAAGAAGTCAGCCAGGCTGTGGTAATAAATTATAGCTGCATTCCTGAAGTGACATAACACTGATGTTGCTCCTTGGTTATGTGTCTGATTATCATGGATTAACTGTCCAACTATTCAGTAACCCAGTTGATATTACTGTTAGGTAGCAAATGCCCCAATTTTCAACGAGTGCAAAGTAAAATTCTTCTACAATTCTATCAAAATTTTACTTTACCTACTGATGCAGATGCATAATGTTTTCCATTAATGTAATGGTGTGAAAGTAATGTACAACATTTATCTTTTCTAACTGTACATACTAACGTACATATTGACCATTTGTTGAAGCTGATTTTGATGGGGTGTTGGCTTTTTCCTGTGTTGGCTGTCAGTCTACATCATTGCTAAAAAACGCCTCCAGTTCAGTACCACCTCCATCCTACACAACAAAATATCATTCTTCCATGACTCCAATCGATTCAGTAATTTGATTCCTCCGTTGTGTATGTCCGTTCAACCTGTTTCTGTCTGCTTACCTGCATTGTTCACTGACTTCTGTGCAGTATTTCTCTACTAAATGACATGGTTCTTGAATAGGATAACTCAGTATTTATATCACGCCAACAAAAGTCAGTCAAAGGAGCAAATATTCATTTTTGCTTCGTCGCCCTACAGTAGACTTGAACTATCCAATCTGACCATCCACTTTGTATTCAATTTTATGTGGAGGCAGCTGTGACTGGTGTCTCAGAAGTGTAACTGTTTTTTCTCTAAAACTTCCTCTGTCTTTGTCTCTTACAGGAATAATGTCTGCAACAGGGAATGGCTACGTCATCTATATGACCATCAAACGAAAGACCAAGTTGAAGCCTCCTGAGCTCATGACTGTTAATCTCGCCATTTTCGACTTTGGCATTTCAGGTACTGTAATTTAATTAATACATACAATAATAGCATTATTTCACTGTCAAGTATAAACTAAAGTATCTTTACTTACTGTGATATAAACAACACGATGAACAACCAAAACTCCAACTTCAGCAGCAGATCACTCTTTGTTTTGTGCTCCGCTGCCTTTCCAGACAGCACAGCTCAACACAGCTCGTTTACATATGTAGCCTAAAAGGATCAGTTGATGAATTGATTTATCAGTCGATAGAAATTTATTCAGCAGCTATTGGATAATTGATAAATCGTTTCAGCAAAAAATGCCATAAATGCTTCAACACATTTTTAAATCAATTTTTAAACTGTACATTTTTTGGGCACATTCAAGATGTCACTTTAGGACCAGGAAGAGTATTTTTGTTTTTGACCAAACTACCAGTAGATTAACCCGGAGAATAATCCATCAAGTCCTAGTGGATCTAGTAAATGTGCAATGCTTAACTGAAAACTGTCATTTTAAACAGGGTTAGTACATAGCCTCCTAAATGTTCTCAATCAGGAGCATTGAGCTACTGCATCTCAAATTTGGAATACACACAAACCACTGGATTAGACAGTGAAGCAAAAGCTTGACAGTCAGGTCAAGTGGTTCTTAACACTGATAAAGTGATTGCAAAACATGTCTGTGTAGGTTTAAAGTTAGAGAACGACAAAAAACAAACACCGTGACAGATTTACTCTTCACTTGAGGGTAGACTTTGTTTGAATGACATCAATCAAATTACAGTTACCAATTATCTAATCAAGTACTTAACTAAAAAGTCTGAAACACCCAGAGCGATTTCACAGTTTACAGAGAGAATAAATAAGAAAGAATCTCTTCTAAGAACATCAAAAATACAAGTATCTCATATCATAACAGCAGTGCCATTTTGATTCATTCATGTAAGTGCTATACATCACAGGAAATAGGGAAAATCATGACAGCCTTTATTATGCAGAGTGTGAACCCACCTCTTCCCCATGCAACTGTGTCTGAAGATGCACAAAAACCCTTCAAGTAATAACTATGATTACATTTTCATGAGGTTAAAATTTCATCCTGAACAAATACAACAGGCCTGAATATAAATGTGCATGCTCAAGTGTCGGTCGGCTAATGTTCCTCTTATCCAGTCCGTCTTCATACATGTTGCATTTGCCTATGTATTGATTTATTTATTCATTCACAGTGTGCCGGGAGTAGAGGCTCTCAGAGGAATGAAGTGATTTCCATTCCCACAGTTGTTTGCCCTCTTGATAAGATGGGGCTGTTTATCTGTCCGCTGCCTTTTCATTAACTTTTGTTTTGTTTTTCTATGTCACCAATCACATTCATGCTATTATGTTGTCCTCGGTTGAATGTTCAAACCCTTAATGCCTGTGAGTCACCAGCCACGGATCAGTTAAAAGTCCGTCCTTATTAACTTTCTCCCTTAATAACTTTTGGAAATTGACGTGTCTGTGTGACTCATTTCTCAGTTCACGTCTCTGACCTCAAAGGAAAGCTTTGACATTTAGATTATGACTCTCTCATCACTGGACACCGTCACATTATAGAACAAAGACATGGAGTACATTTTCCTTCAGCTGTTAAAGGAGGAATTGATTCTACATGTAAAGGTCACTTTAGTTGTCATGGGTAATACCACCCAACCAATGAAAACACTTGAATGATGTCTCCAGTGGCTCTGGAGCAGGAGCTACTTTAAGCTCAGCTTGTGCTTGACAGAAATTCTGCATCACAAAGTGGAAGTAAGCAGGCAGCAAGGTCCGAGTTAATGTTTTCTTAAAATAAAAACAGTTGCACAAAACACCCTTAAGTCTTCTCCTTAAGGTTTCCTCAAAACCTTCACTGAAGTATTTAAGGTTTTCTCCTTATCTTAGTCTTATACTTAAAGAATCACTTAAAGTCAGTCAAACCGTTGCACAAAAGACCTCAGCGACCAAAGTACCACTGACTCTATCTTAACTGCAACATGGCTGAGTTTATGGTGATAAATGAATAAAATCAAAAGGCCACTGACGCACAATGGGCATGTGGTGTACGCAGGCAAAAGAAGTGCATTGTCCATGCCAAGTTTATGCGTTTCTTATGGTTTATTTGTCAAAAACAAGCAAGCAAACAAAGAACAAAGAAATCCTGTTTCCTGCAGGCCTCTCTTGCTCTGGTTAAAAAAAAACCAAAAAAAAAAAAACCATAAGCCCACCCAGGTGCATTCTGGTCCTATGCCCGCCTTCCTACCTATATAACCTCAGGTGCCCACAGTGTTACCCAATTCATAAGCAAAACAAAATACTAGTTACGCAAAAAACTGAATATGCCAAACAAGGAAATAACTAAACACACAACTAGCAAAAGAAAATACTATCAAATCTAAATAAAGCAAACATCTAGAATAATCAATCAAACAATACTAATTATTAATAAAACAACAACTAAATACTAACAACAAATAAATAGCTCCTACAACCTTGTTAACCTTGAAACCTTGAGATTCTTTGCATCACCCTTAAGGAGTTCCCTCAGCTGAGGAGAAATTAAACCTTACCTGTCATACTTCAGGAAATCAGTTCTAACGGATTATCCTGAGTAGGAAATATCCATGCCAAATTTTGTGGCAATCCAATGCAATAGCTGCTGACATATTAACCTAAAAAACAAACAGCCTCTTTGTAGCACTAGAGGAAGGTTCAGGGGATCACTAATGTCTGAAGGATTCATTGATAGCCATACAGTTGTACACAGCTATCTGATATCCAATAGTGGTCAGGATATTGCAGTTTGCAACAAAGTTCTGACACGGATGACGGATGGCACTGCTATACATCAAGCTATGCTGCTAGCTTGGGTAATAAAAACACAGCCAAATAGCTAGCTAGATCTTAAACTTTAACTTTCCTTTTTAGGGTTGTTGGATTATGTGAGTTATTTTTTTCTTCTTATCCGTGACGTGTTTTCAAATTGATCCGATACAGAAAGAAGAAGAAAGAAAGAATAATGTTTGAGCAAGTGTGTAAGCCAGCGTGACTCTTGTTTAGACTTTTTCATTCATAAATTGTAGCTCAAAGGCTATTAGATAGAATAATAATATCACAACATGTGCAAACTAACCAGGAGCGACTATGGAAATAGATTGCTAACATATGATGTGGTTTTACCATGTGGTTTCTGTCATATTCTCCGCAGATGACTTGACTTTTATGTAGCGCTGTAACAACTCTGTCAGCAGATACTGCAGTAAATCAACAGATTCTGTAGATGCTCTCATCCCTGGGTCAAAACTCGGTTATGTTCAGTGCACTTGTGATCAGTGTGTGCTGCAGCTTGTTCCCATTTAGCCTCTCTGAATAAGGTGAATCCTAATGTCAGTGTCCCTGTGAGTAGCACATAATGAGTGGTGGTTGAAATAATGAGAAAATATTATCACTCTGTTCCTTTGGCTGTGATGTGAGTGCAGCTGCAGAAACCACGAGACACAGAGGGGAAGACATCTTTCAAGGCAGAGGTCAAATAATTTCCTCTTTCAGTTGTTCCCTGTCGAGAGGAGCTGGCACCTAGAAAAATGCGAGCTGCCTGTCAATCCATGTTTCGAACTTGAGAGCAATTCATAGATAAACTACTACAAACCGTCACTGGCATTTGATGATCCCTGACCTTATTCCTTATCTGTCTGCTCTGTTTGAATTCTGCACCTCAGTGTGGGATGCTGACCTGTGTTTGCCCCACTCTGTGCAGACACAGTCAAAGTCAAGTCAACAGAGACCGTGTGTGTCCTGAAAGTGAACAAAGCTGGGTTATCAAGCCCATGTGGTTTCCCCTCGGCTACTTACGCAGTTGTCCTGGCTCACAATAAATGTTATTAAACAAGTCTGCCTTGTGACATGAATGATGACATCAGCATAATTTGAGAATAAGTGGAGAGTTTTATTCCAAAATGGGTCATCCACCAGTTGATACTGGCGTAAAGGTCACAGCGTCTTGGTACACAGGGGTATCCTCAATCAGAGAGGTCATGCTGTTCCGGTTCACAAGGGTTTGATGACTTTATTGGACATTTTGAAGATTTCTTCTGCTTCATCAACATCCTCATTCTGCCCATTGTTTGATTGTTTGACTTAAGTTCAACAGCTCTAACGTGTAAATTGTAACTTCCTACAATTCCTTCCTTTGATTAGTCATTCTCCATTAATCAGTTTGCTATCAGGCCTTGAACTGATTCACCAATTCTTTTTTTTTTAATCTTTTTTTTTTTTTACCTCTACTGCTTCAGCTCAATGGTTTTCCCACAATACCTTACACACTAATCATGCCTCACTTATGCAGTCGTCTATCTAAAGGCCATCAGCCTCACATTCACTCTGCACACTGACACGTGCTTTTCTGCAGCTTCTACAGTGGATACTGAGACTGTTCAGCTTGTGCTATGCAGAGATTCATGCTGCTACCAATAATAATTCAGACACTGATGCGTTGTGTTGGTCCTTCATGTGTGTGATCAAATAGGAAAAATGAATATCAGTACCACATACTTTGTTTAACATTGTAATAAACCACAAATTTAGGGCTGGGAATCTTTGGAAACTCATAATTCCTGGTGTCATGATATTTTCAGGCTCTCACTTTACTTAAAGGTCCCATATAGTGTTGTTTGATTATAGATCAGGTCTAGGTTCTATATTGATACTGTGAAAGTATCAAAGCGCTCAGTGCACAGAGAAATGCACACAGCCTGTATTCAGAAACTGAGCCTTAAAACCAGCCGTCAGCACTTCTGTAACTTTCTGATGTCACAACAAAGCAGTCACTGCTCTCAGCCACGCCTCAAGCCCCGCCCACCTGGACCCACCGTCCAATCCTGCAGGGTTTGATTTCTCTGAGTGTTTACCTGAAAACTGCTAGAGAAGAGAGTCAATCAGAAGAGAGGTCCAGAGCCTCCTCTAGAGGCTCTAGAGATAGTAAAGCTTTAAAATCGCCAAAGGGGAATGACCAT